TGTCATGCCCTTTGTATGGAGGAAGAGATGGGCTGAGGTGCAGGCATACGGTAAGTCCTGAGAAGTGGCAAAAGGCTTGGCTAGTTGGTCAAGGGCACAGAAAGAGCAAAATTGGAATTTTGGAGATAAGCAGGTCTGGGTAGACAGCATATGCCTAGAGCTCTCGGAGTGGGCACAAAGCGTGCAGATGTTTGTGTCTCCCATTCATGCTCACCAGAGACCATCCACTGCACAGGAAGCTCTCCAGCCAGATGGTCAGATGTCCCATCCTGCAGATGTCAGCCAAATTCTAAACTGCGCCATCCTATTGCTCTGCAAAAGATCCATTAAAAAGTGGCCATGGGGCCGGCCCAGTGGCACAGTGGTTAAGTGCACACGTTCTGCTTCTCGGCGGGTGGCCCGGGGTTTGCCGGTTCGGATCCCGGGTGCGGACATGGCACCACTTGGCACGCCATGCTGTGGTAGGCGTCCCACATATAAAGTAGAGGAAGATGGGCATGGATGTTAGCTCAGGGCCAGTCTTCTTCAGCAATAAAAGAGGAGGATTGGCAGCAATTAGCTCAGGGCTAATCTTCCTAAAAAAAAAATAGTGGCCATGGTGGCAAAGATGCAGGCTATGAACGGACCCAAGAACTTGGGCTCTCATTAACCAAGGCTGATTTAGCAATTGCCAACAAACAGCCGACCAGCCAGCATCACGCAGCAGTAGAGCAATATTGGTCAGAGAGCAGCCAGGCACCTGGGGGCAGGTCACTTATATCAGCTCCCCTTCCCCATTGGAGAAAGCAACGCGTCATCCTTGCTGGAATTGTTATGGACTTCAAATATGGTTTGTATTTCTTACCCACAGTGTTTCTGCAAGCATCACCATCCAAAGGCTTAAAGAATGCTCACTGTATGACCTAGAGCCAGAGGATCCTTTTTACGGCACAGGATCTGTGACGATGACCTCATGAACACTGGCTTCACCCGTCTTACCATACGTCTATCACCCAGAAGCAGCCAGCCAGAGGGAACAATGGAAAGGAATGCCTTCATTTCCACAGGTTTTAATCTCCTCCTCTGCAAAAGGGAGATTATAAACAGTATATGGTACTTCATAAGACCGTTGCGAGATTGGAAAAAGAGCATGTACACAGAGCACTTTGCACAGGCGCTGGCATGCAGCAGCTGCTCAGTAAATGGTAGGCATTGTTATTAACGGAACTGAATTGTGAAACGCCTCTGTGCCCCCAGAGGAGCCGCCGGTCGGGCTTCACTAAGCCGAGCGGGGCAGTGGATCCCACTCTGATGTGACCTGCTTTGAACACTCTTAGCTGTTCAGAAAGTCCTGGACTTGAATGGCATTTTTCTGCCAGTAGCCTATGCAGAGCTGCTTCTGCTGAGCAGAGCTGGAGGAGGGGAGAAGTGAAACTGCAGTCAGTGCAGGAAATGGAAACTCTGTCAAGGATTGGCCGCCCCGGGAACGGAAGGGAGCAATCCTACTGTGATTATAAAAGCCAGCCTGAGAGCTGTGATTTCACTCCTGCTGCCATCTATCATCAGGCTGGGGGCAGGAAGATTCCTCCTCTTCTCTCCTCTAAGGTAAACCCAGAAGCTATGAGGTATGCATGTCGAGATGCCAACCTCTGCCAGGCCGCCTGCCTGTGAGCCTCATGCCCTGAGAGCAGGGATGCCCATTCCTCAGGGAGGCTCTACCCTGAGTCCCTTTCAGTGTCCTGGGATAGGACTGGTCTGAGGGGATGGGTTGGGGCTTTTTGGGGGGTGGGGTATTATCTCTAACACACGGCTGAAAAAAATGGTACCTACTTCATGGGTTTGTTATGGGTATAAGTGACCTTGTGCCATAAAGTGCTGAGTAAGTGCTCAACACGTGGGAGGTTGCTTGTTTGTTTGTTTGTAATTCAAGGAAAATGCTGACAAAGATCACATTAGAGTGGGTTTGGGGGCACATGTATTTTGCTATTTTGTGATGTAATGGAAAGAGCATAGGTTTTGGATTCCAACAGTCTTGAGTGTGCACAGTCTATGCTGCACAATTTGCTGTGTGACCTTAGACAAGCTTCTTTACCCTCTATCCTCTCTGAAAAATGAAGTTGATATGAGGTCAATGTTTGGTGCCTGTAAAGATCAATGCCTTGTAACAATAAGTTTATCAACAACAATTTTTTAGAAAATTCGTGTGACAGGGACTGTTCTAAATGCTAGGGATATAGTGGTGAACAGTTTCAAAACTCACAGCCACACTCTGAAATAGGCCTTATTAACAACCTCATCTTGGGGATAAGTACACTGAGACCCAGAGAAGGCCCTAGTATCCTGCCCAAGGTCACACAGCCAAAGCCAAGAACGGAAACCACAGTAATGATTCTAGCTGACATCGATAGAGAGCGCACCACGTGCCAGGCACCACACCGGAGCGGGATTGCCTCAGGAATTCTCACAATCACCCGGGAGGCAGGAACATCACCGCTGTTGTTGCCGCGAGGAAACGGGAAGCTCCTTAGAAGGGTCCTGGTCTTAGTTCAGAGCACCTCGCTGCTTTTTATGGACCCATCCTCGAATCGGAGGGGAAAACAACCCAGCTGGTATGGCTCGAAAGGGGCTCTGGGGACCATCTCCTCTCTCTCTCCCCTCGCCAGGACCAGTGACAAAGCTTGCGCGCGGCGCCACCATGCGGCAGAAGGCGGTATCGCTCTTTTTGTGCTACCTGATACTCTTCGCCTGCGGCGCGGTGGAGGCAGGTAAGGGTCCTGGGGCAGGGGAGGACTGTGGGATAAAGAAGCGGAGTTTTAGAATCCCTGCGGAGTTTCAGGATTCCTGGCTTAGAGACGCAGGCGTGCGTCTGAACGAGAGGAGCTGTTACAATGGACAGCGCAGGGTCGCTGTAGCCAGAGTCCCAGATTCGAATCCTTACTCTGTCGATCCCTCCCTTCTACCGAAATGTATTCAATGCCAGTTACGTGCCAGGCACGGCGCCTTAGGAAAAGTCTCTTCTTTTCAGTAAGGCTCTCCGAATGGGAGGATGGTGGCCCCACCTTTGGGGGTGGTCCTGAGCATCAGGCACAGAGTAAGGGACCTTGGTCCTCACTCTGCTTTGTCCGCCCTCCCGACAGGCAAAAGAAGACGCTCGGAGAGCTCAGAGAACAGCGGCTCCGGATGGTGGAGCACGCTGACCTATATGGCTGTCGGAGGAGGTGGGTCTGGAGGGCGGGCAGCTCGGGAAGGTGGGGCGGGCCCCTGCTGCGGGCGCTCCCTCACAGCCTCCTCCTCCTGCAGGGCTCATGGCCGTGGGGCTTCCCGCGCTGGGCTTCACGAGCGCCGGCATCGCCGCCAACTCGATGGCCGCCTCGCTGATGAGCTGGTCGGCCGTAGCGAACGGGGGCGGCGTGCCTGCTGGCGGGCTGGTGGCCACGCTGCAGAGCCTCGGTGAGTGAGGGGCCGGGCCCTCCGGTGGGGACACCAGGGCTAGTTGGCTCTCTTTACTGTTCTGGGCCCTTTTCACAGGCTAGCTCACCTCTATGAGGTGGGTATTCTTATCATCTCCATCATACAGAGGGGAAACTGAGGCACCGAGGCATTAAGCAATTTATTCAAGTTCTCCTGGCTAGTTAGCACCGGAGGCAGGATTCCAGCTCAGTCTGATTCCTCGCTTTTAGCCTCGAAGGCTCGAAGGTGCCTCGCTGATGCTTTGGCCAAGTCACAACAAGCCTCAGTTTTCTCATCTGTTAACAGGGCCAATCATCCTCAATTTAACATTTTAGGAATCTGCTCAGCCTCAGAGAAACAGGGTGGCAAAGAACCTTGGTGGAGCCACCCAATTCAATCTCATACTCTGCTCTTGCATTTCTTGAACACCACGAAGGGGATGAAAAAGGGCTCAGAATGACCATTCTAAAAAGTGTGCATTCACTTCTCTCTCTCTTTCTTCCACCTCTTTCTTTTTCTTTCTCTCCCTCCCTCTCTCTCTCTCTTTTTTTTTTTTTTTTTTTTTTTTGAGGAAGATTAGCCCTGAGCTAACTGCTGCCAATCCTCCTCTTTTATTGCTGAGGAAGACTGGCCCTCAGCTAACATCCGTGCCTATCTTCCTCTACTTTATATGTGGGATGCCTACCACAGCATGGTGTGCCAAGCAGTGCCATGTCCAGACCTGGAATCCGAACCGATGAACCCTAGGCCGTCAAAGCTGAACATGGGCACTTAACTGCTGCGCCACCAGGCCGGCCCTCCCTCTCTCTCTTTCTGAGGCCTCCAAAATCCTACAGAAAAACTGCTCCTGACAAACTGCCCCCTCTGCCTTTCTGAGCCCTCCATCTTTTCTCAATTCTAGATGACAAAAGGCCAAAGAGCCAGACCAAAAGAACAGACCTCTTCTCCAAGGGGGCAGATGGAAAGACACAGACCAGGCCACACCCCAGCAGCGGGAGGTGAAGGTGTGGGCAAGGCTAGGAAGAGTCCTGTGCTAGAAGATGATTGTTCTCTTGCATGTCACAGGGCTGCAACAAGGATGAAATATCATCCTTCTTACTTTCAAACCCTGAGCACCCACAGGGAAGTCTCCACAAAGATAGCTGTCATTACCATTATTAAGAACACAGTGTGTTCATCGCAAACATGAAGAGAATGAGCTGTTATTTTTGTCTTTTTCTTCTCTGATTTGAGAGGGCCAGTCGGGGGGAATAGGATTCAGTTTGTGGACGTCCCATTCCCCTCTCAGGGCCTCTGTTTCTCCATCTGGAAATGAAGAGGTTGGACTTGGTTTCCAATGGTTTTCAGACATTTGGGTTCCCAGGCCTGGTGCCTGGGCCCCAGGTGACCCAGCTGTATTTGCTTTACAGGGGCTAGCGGTGGCACTGGCCTCATGGCCAAGATTGGTGCCTTTCTGGGCTACACTGTCCACAAGCAGCTCAGCAACCAGGACGAGGATGAGGAGTAGCCAGCAGCTCCCAGGAATCCTCTCCTTCCTCCTTGCCCTCCTTCTTCCGGTTGAAGTCTAGAGCTTTCTGTTATACTTGTCAATAGCCCATGTCAAAAAACAGAATAAACTTCTCTCAGAAGACACCTTGTCCTCGGTGAGTTGCCCCGGCTGTGAGAAGCCCCATAAGATCTGGCTCTGGTCTGACTCATGCACACACACACACACCCATTTCCCCCTAAAGCCAACCACAGCTCCTGGAACTCAACCAGTTGATTTAGTCTCTGGTCTAAGCTCAGGCTATTCTCTCTGCCTAGAATGTCCTTCTGAAGCTCATAACTGGGCTCAGACGTGCCCTCCTCTGGGATGCCTTCCCAGCAGAGCCTCCTGCTACCCCTGTCACAGCATGAACGTCCAGGCTCGATTCCACAGGGGACTGGGGAGTCAGAGCTCACTTCGTCCTCGGTGAGAGAAGTTTCAGCTGCTTCTCTGGGTCGGCAGAGATGGGGGAGCCAGATCTCCATTCTCCGAGAAGCACTAGAGTGGGCTCCCTCAGACGGAGAACATAAGGCCAGCCCTTTGCCTTGGGAAAGAGTGTAGCACAGTTTTAGAGGGCTCAGCAGGGCCACCCGTCCCCCAGAGAACTCTAGTGATAGAGCAGACGGTTTGCATATGGAGCCCGTACGCCCTCTGAGTAGGAAGGGAAGGCCAACCCCAGCCCTCGGGGAGATTGGAAGTTTGGGAGGCTTGTCCAGGTGACCTAAGGTGCCCAGACCGAGGCAGGGGAAGGTCAAAGAGGTCCTGGAAATCAAACGTCAGTGAAGGTAGGACTGGGTCCAGCACTAGTGGAAACAGAAAGAGAATGCTCAGGTTCTGGTCGTGAGTGGACACACGAGCCTCAATGCTAGACCAGCCTCCCAGGGCGAGCTGCACCCCTGGGAAGTGGCCATGTGTGAACCTCAAAAGCTGATCACAAAAGGGCAAAGCCAGCTGTCCTCAGGCCTCCCCCACCCAGCCCCACTTATAATCCAGAAATTCTTCTTCGATTACAAATGTGGGTGGGTGGGTAAGAGGTCCCATCCCGCCTGCTCCTGCCCGCAGGTCCAATGCCACGTCTCCAGGTGTTGGCCTCTGCTGGCTTGCCCTGGGCCCCTAGAGAAGCACTGTCTGTGGAAGAGGTGCACAGGTGTGGAGGCACCATCTGCACCTCAAAAACTGTCTCTGTGGCTTGTGTACAAGAGCAGAAGTTGGACTGAGTCCCCTGACCTGATATTCACCACAGGGCCTCAGCAGAGTCCCATGATGGCTAGGGCCATCCATGGAGGGGCAGACCACATGGACTTCTGCTCACAGAGGGAGGTGGGGTCTCAAGTATCACCCTCTGCTGAGACCTGTAAATGGCACCCAGTTTGTCTAAAGGGTTGACATCCCAGAGACCTAAGAGTGTATTCCTCAGCCCTTACAGGGAGGGCATTATACCTAATTTATCTCTTCTCCCCACTGCCCGGTACAGGCCTGGCACAGAGTAGGTGCTCAATATATGTGGGTGAAGTTGAGCCTGAGGTCAGTGTCCGCCCATCTCCCTGTCCTTCACCTTCCCCGATCTTCAATGGGAAGGAGTGACTGTGACACAGGCTTGGTGAGCTGAGGAGTCAAAAGAAAGATTTCTTGGACTCTCAAGGTCTGGTAGTAGTGTTGCTTTATTCAGAGAATAGCATGGAGTAGGGTGAGGACAAGACCCATGGACAGTAAAAAGCTGCAGCACGGGGACAAGGCCCATGGGCAGTGAAGAGCTGCAATGAGTTGAGGGCAGGGCTAAGTTTATAAGGCATAGGTATGTGAGTTATTTCTTTACAAGACAAAGGAAAGACTATGTAAAAAAGTCATTAAAATGGTATCAGTGCAGGTGGAGTCTGGTTATTGGGTGGTCCTAAAACTTTGGATACAAATCAGGTCGAATCAGGTCAGGACATCCTATGCTTCCAAGAGGATGATCGGTGTGTAGGGCAGGATGCCTTGGGCTTCTCTCCCTGGGGCAGCCTTGAGCCTCATCATAAAACACCCCCTGAACCCATTTGGCCCGGAAATCCTTTGGGGATATGGAAGATGGTCAATCTTCTGTAACTACTTCTGGCTGTACAAGGTCATAGAGCTGTCCCTAAATGGGGCCATAGGGGTTCAAGCAGGAAGTCCAATGGACTGGAAGGTTGCACCTGCAGAGTCCAAGGCAGACAAGGTATACAGATCATCTGAAGGTGAGAGAATCATTTGACGAGAAGTGGTCCAGAAGGCGAAACTTTGTTGACATGTGGAAGACAAACAATGAGATAGACAACAAATAATAATAAGAAATGCAAGCAATATGATTACCCCAATGAATAAGGCTTTGATAGTAGTCCAGAGTCCAAAATGACCAGGAGTCCAACCAATCACTCAGGGATGGGGTAAGACACAGATTTAATTTGGTGGCTCATATCAGATAGGAATACAGAGATATTTTGATGGTAGTCAGGAACATAGACACAGCATTGGGTTTTTATAATGGCACAAGTGCCCTCCTGTGCTGCTGTCAAGACATCAATGCCATTTGATTTTGGAGGACCGCCTTATGCATTTGGGATATTTCTAAATCGAGCAGCGAAAGGCTATGTTGTGTATCGTTTAATGTCTTCATGGTAAACTTGTTTAGGGCTTCCATGTGCCAGATGATACTTTCAATTCCTAATTGGGGAAGGAAAATAGAGGCAAGGTGATCATACCAGTGGAAGACAGAATGGGTCCAGCATTGTCGTAGGTTGGGTAGGTTAACAGGAGAAGATATAGTAAATGTAGCTCTACCTTGCATCCAGATGAAGCCTAGGGTGCATCGTCCAATCCATCCAGGCAGCAGCCAAGGCCATAAGTTGGAGCCACATAACCATTGAGTGCCATTAGGGGCTAACCAACATATGCTGGGCCGTCTACCCTGGTCAGTCCCAAACCAATCAGTATTTTTTAAGGCTATGATATGAGAACACATATAACGGGGAATTTGTCCCATAGGTCAGGTGCTATTAGGCCACTAGTAGGAGTGAGCCAAATATATTTCTCCCAAATTTGGTATAGTCCCTTCTGTGTGTATCGATAGGTTGGGGACTTTACCTTTGGAACTTGCTGTTTATGATCCACCTGTGACAAGGCAAATCTAGTTAGTATTTGGGCAGTAGAATTGAAGGAAAAGGTTTGATTGTAGCCAGGGAGCTCCCAGGCATCAGAGATGGATGGCCACAAGGAGACATTATGATTAGTAATAGATGAATCTTGTAGAAGAGAAGAGCTAGAATTGAATATCCATGCATGTGTACTATAGCTTCTACTGAAACATAATTTTTCTCTCTAAAATCACCCTCATTTCTACAAAAAATAGTCAAACTAAGATTAACTGGTTTTCAAAATAAGTGTAGTTTCAATAAAACTTGGTCCAATTATTTACATAAGTGCAGCAAGAATAACAATTGATCATATAGACTCTTTTAAATCTGCTTTGCTGGAGTTTTCTATGAGGAATCTCAGATTGAACTGTAAAGGCCTCTTGAGGCCAGAAAAACCCAGCCAAGGACTTTCCATCAGATTTTGCCTGCAGTACCTACAGATTTGGGTGGATTCCTCTGTTTTCGAGGCCCCCCCAAATACTTCGAGGTTCCTTGCACCTGCCAGATAAGTGAGCTTCCTTACTTACCAGGTAAGATTGCTAGAATCTCTGTAAACAAGGTACCAGGCCAATGTTTCCCAGTGGCTTTATTCTAGAAAGTCCAATCTTTGTTCCTGAAAGGCTGTATTGTCATATCTGAATCTGTATGTTTCTCTCAAATATGACATTCCAGTCAAAGACTTGGTAAGATAACCAATGTTTCCAAATGTGTCCTATTATAAGGAGAACAGATTCTTATTGAACTTATGCAAATAACTATATTGCCATGAAATAACCATACTCACTCACTCACTGAGTTTCCAAATTCTGGAGAGATCAGGTAGGGAGAAAAAGATAAGTGTTTCAGTTCTGCTCACAAAGGTATAATTTCACCAAATTGCCATAAGTCATCATTAGCATAAGAGAAACGAGAAAAAGATTTCCTTAAATCTGAGAAAACAAAACATAAAAAAACAACATTTCAAACAAAAAACATAAAGAATTATAAACATCCTCATCAATTCATACAGTCCTGTATAATTGATTCTTGATCTTAATCTTCTGTTAGCAGATTTATGAGGTCATCAGTTTCTCTGTTAGAATTCTATAAGTTCTTACCCAGTTCAGTTTTACCACCTCAAAGTTTATCAGAAACCTGTATTGTAGAATCCTGTGTCAGAATCTTTTCCTTGAATTTCTCTGAAGATGAAACATATTTGCAAAAGCATAAAGTAAAACAGCAACTATCTGCAAATGACAAAAGACTCAAAAGGGCAATTGACAAAGAAACTTGGCTACTTCTATGACATACAACACTTTAAGATAATAACTAGAATTATGGCTGATAACCAGGACAGATTAGAATTTTAGGAATGTTATATAATTTCATAACACCTATATCAATAGCATTCACCCACATAATACCACCTAAGAAAGTTTATCATCACTTCTTTGACAATGCTCCCCATATAATTTAATAGACCAAATAAGCCTAATTAGTTTAGTATTTTCCTCCTTAAAGGAAGAGAGCAAATTTCATTGAGAAGTCTCAGGGGCCCTCTGAAAATCCTCAGAGAAATTTTCTTCCTTCTACCAGGTCAAAAGAAAGCCTTCATTCAGGACTTGAATTTTTTTTTGAGGGAGAAGCTTGTCAAAAACATCAAAAGTTTTTAAGACACTTGTTCAAATAGGAAACAACGGTCACTGCAAAACAATGCTCAGGTATCTATTCAAAGTGACAACAGAAACAGTCAAGAGCAGTTAAAATAGTCAAAAAATCTTAAGAGAGACCTCTTCCTTTCTGAACATAGGAGATTATTTTAGCAAAACACAGGTTTTCTGTCTTTTAGGTAGACTTACAGCAGGCCAAAAGTTCAAGAAAATTATTCTTTGAGAGAAAACCAAATTTTAATTTTTGCATGAGCTTATTTTTAACATTGAAACTCATTTACTTAATTGGATTTACTTTAATCTTAGCCAACTTGACCAGGCATAAAACTCCTTTCTGAATTTCTCTTTCACAAACCTTCTACAACTGTTTTTTTTTACATTCAGAATTTGTCCCATGCTTGCTTTCTTCCCTTTAGTACTTTAGGACAAATTTATCATTCTTAACCCAATGAACAGAAATACTTCTATTCTTTATACCCTCTTCACTGAAAACATACACTTTACTTTCCTTGAATACAGAGCTGTTTTCCTTATTAATTTCCAGTAGCTTTAATTATATATATTAATTAGAATTTTTAACCCTTACAGACCCTAGTAAAAACGGAAAAGCTAAGCAACTATGAACTGCCTTTTATATCAGTATTCTAAACATTTTTCATAATTTCTAGAAACATGTTACTTTACAGTAATAAAACACAGGCATGTTTACTAATTGACCCAAACATCCTTTAGCCTCTCTGCAATAAGAAGCTAAAAGTAGATAACTTAGACAATGTTCAGCAATAAGGTTTCAGTGTTCCATCCTATCCAAAAATGACCCACATACTCAAAAGATTTTTATTATTTAACTTAACTTGGCAAAACTCTAAAGTTTTAAGTTACCAGAAAGAATTTGGAAGCTGTTCTTTTTTCCCAAGTATACAGACCATAAAACAATTATTGTACCCAGAAACTCTTACCCATTTTTGTCTATTTAAATCATTTGTTTCCAACAATTATGTTCAGATTACCCACAAAAACTTCATGAGACGTTAGACAAAATTAGCTATCATTTAAAGCTATTATTTTGCTGATGAATTTGTAACAGACAATATGAACTTATTTGACTAGTAAACCCAGGGTATATGTCTGCATCATATCCAAATACTGACAATTCTAAGGATATGCCTATTTCAATCAAACCAACAAATTTAAACTTTCATTTATCAAAGATTAATTTATATCATGTTAACTTAAAAGACATTGGGTTAATTTCTACTACACTTAGAATTTACATAAGCGCTTACTTTAAGCCAATTAAACAGAGCTCTTGATTTTGGCCCTACCATCCAGAGGGAAAATACCACACACATATAACGTACATATAGACACACATACACAGAATCTCCACAGCTATTGTTTTAAAAATTACTGCCCAAACTCACCAGCTATGAATCCAAATTTTGTTTTGAGCCTTTTTGCTAATATTTGTGGAGAAGACATTTAAGATGATAGATTTTTTTGGCAAAGGCATGCTTATGGCCGTTTTTTCCTTTTTCCCTTTTTTTTTTCCCTCAGTCTTGGGAATTAGTGATGAGCTCCATTGTCCCTAGAGGATTTGCAAGCTCTTTGAGATAAGGGAAATGGGTGGAACCTGAACCAACTCTAGAGCTGCTTTTTCCAGCCTTAGAAGGATTTCCAAGGACAGTTGCTCTTGGTTTCTCAGAAACTGGGTTGTGACTCAAATGACATTATAGGTTGAGCTACCTGTCCAACTACATCACAAAGGCACAGAGAAACCCCTCAAGTTTTCTCCAAGATGGAGTTTCTGGGGCATAACCCATCCAATTGAAAGTGTTTCCAATTAGTTAAAATGCACCCAAGGGTGAGTCTCCGGGGATGCTTGTGGAGTTCACCATGGTGGTAAAGCCAGTGTCTGACTGACAGCGGCTGGAGAAAGGGTACAGGGCCTGACTGTGGGCATCAATATGGTTATAAGATTTAGTCAAGTGCCACTCAGCTGGGGCACTTAGTCCCTGAGCCAGCACAATACAAGCCAGGGAAGCAGGAGGCAAAGGCCTGGAGTGGGTGGGGGGCTGGGGCTCCCAGCACTGGGATTGTGAGTTAAGTCCCTGGCAAAAAGGTTTTGAAGTTTTCAATCTTACAGAAGGTCCATGTTCTGCTTAGGTCCAGCCTGAACTTAACCTTGACTTGGTGACAACAGAGGAGGTGATGAATGAGACAGACAAAGAAAGGAAAAGAAGAGATCAGGCCTTGCCCTCATGGCCTCTTCCCTAGGGTTATCAAATTAAGGGTCACACGACAGTACCTGCCGGGACACACAACACTGGCAGGACAGTTCACAGAATAAATCACAGGTCTCCTATCCTCTTAATCAACTCAGTAGGTGCCTAAAATACTCAATGAGTCAACCGTCAAGAGAGGGCACCCCACTTGGGGTCGCCAGGGTGATCAGGCCTGAAAACCAGAGTCAGGGGGCTCCCAGGGGTGGAGCCTTTGACTCTTGAAAGATTTCTTTGTTTCTCGGTTGCAAAGCTCAAAAGGAGCCCAAAATGGCCATTGTAACTTTAACAGCGATGAAAGAAAAGGGTCCATTACCTTGAAAATGCCCCCTGAGGGGCCAACCCTGTGGCCCAGTGATTAAGTTCACGTGCTCTGCTTCAGTGGCCCAGGGTTTTGCCGGTTCGAATCCTGGGCATGGACATGGGACCACTCACCAAGCCATGCTGAGGCAGCATCCCACATGCCACAACTAGAAGGACCCACAACTTAAAATACACAACTATGTACTGGGGGGCTTTGGGAGAAAAAGGAAAAAAAAAATCTTTAAAAATAAAATGCCCCCTGAACCTGGGGCAGTGTCCTACCCATCCTACCCACTGTTCCTCCTGTGGGGTTCCTATAGCAAGGGGTGATGGGGGTGTCCCCCTGCATTGCATCCCTTGTATACCTTCCCTATTATGCCTGGCAGTAATAGGTGCCTGGTGAATAGTCCCAGAGATAAAAGAATAGAGAAGAACAGTGAAGAATTTTCCACCGGTTTGGGGGACATTCTACCCAATTGCGTCCTGGAGCTGTTCTCCCAAGAAGGGGTTTCCACACTCAACCAAAGGTTAGAGTTTGGTACTTTCCTTGAACCAGAGTCCTGACTGGGACTTTCCCACAGTTTGGAGTGTGGCCAGGAGCCATAGGGAGAGACCCCAATCCAGCCTTAGGAAAAGAAACCTGCCACAGGAGTCTTGGAGAACGGCGACTATCCTAATGGCTTAAGTGGTCGACCCACGCCCATGTAAAATGTATATATTAGAGATAGGATTAGGAAGGAATGGGTTAATTCATTCTTCATCACCCTCAGGCTTAAGGTACTGATTCTCTTTGAGCTTTGCCCCATAGAGTCACCATGGGCAGCAAATGTGGATTCATACAGCTGTCTGAGAAAGTTCCCGATGGAGAAGTGAATTTAGATCCATCCTTGAGAAAGAGGGAGGCACAAGGAAGAAAAGTACACTTACTGGAACTTAAGCTCACAAGCCTATAAAGCAAGATCCCCGTATGGGCCACCAGAAGAAATGATGTGGGCTCAGCGAGCCGAGGAGTTGAAAGAAAGATTTCTTGGACTCTCAAGGTCTGGCAGCAGTGCTCATTTATTCAGAGAATAGCATGGAGTAGCATGGGGACAGGACCCATGGACAGTAAGAGCTGCAATAGGTTGAGGGCAGGGCTAAATTTATAAGGCATAGGTATGTGAGTTATTTCTTTGCTAGACAAAGGAAAGATTATGTAAAAACGTCATTAAAATGGTGTCAGTGCAGGTGGGGTCTGGTTATCAGGTGGTCCTATAACTTTGGATACGAATCGGGTCGGATCAGGTCAGGACACCTATGCTTCCAAGAGGATGATATAGGTCGGTATGTAGGGCAGGACACCTTGGGCTTCTCTCCCTGGGGCAGCCTTGATCCTCATCAACTGGACCTCTTGCTCTTTCCCTGGCGGACCCTTAGAATACCCGCTGTCACCACTGTGCAGGCCTGGGCGGGGGGAGCCTGAAGCTCCTTGGTCGTGTAATCCAAGTAAACACAGGCCCCTAGCCGTTTAGTCAATATTCCCTAGCACAGATGGGGCTGGGGTTTTCAAATAAAGCTGTGGAGCATAGTAGTTAAGAATGTTCCTCTGGAGTCCTACAGACCTGCCATCTCCTACCTGTGTGTGCCCTAGCACAAGTTCCTTCACTTTTCTGTGACTCAGTTTCCTCCCTCACAAACTGAAATGATAATAGCGTCTACCTCATGGGGTTTTTGTTGGGAGATGAGATGAGAGCCAGCTCTGAAGGCTTAGTGGTTAAAGTTCGGTGCTCTCACTGCTTCGGTGCCCTGGGTTTGTTTCCCGGTCGTGGAACCACACCACTGGTCTCTCAGTTGCCATGCTGTGGTGGTGGCTCACATAGGAGAACTAGAAGGACTTATAACTAGGATATAAAACCATGCACTGGGGCTTTGGGGAGAAAAAAAAAATAGAGGAAGATTGACAACAGATGTTAGCTCAGGGCAAATGCTTCCCTGCAAAAAAAGGGGAAAAAAGATACTGATCGCTCCAAAAAAAAGAGAGAGATGAGATGAAATAATGAATGGAAAGTGTGAACGTGCTCCCTGGCACATGGCGGGCCCTCAGTAGATAATTATGATTAAGGACTTGCATAAAGCAGAGAGGAAATTGCCAAATAACAACCAGGAATTAGATAATCGACCTTTGGAGTCAGGGTTTACTTTCTGGGGCTCACATACCCGGTTCTTCCTTTCTCCCAAGGGTGGGTACCCTGCCCCCAGGAGCATACACCCTCTACTTGTGCCATTCGCATCTTCTTGCCTTGAACAGCATCAAGGCCTGAGAGAGATGGACAACTCCTCCCCCAGCAGCTCTCAGGCTGAATGACACTGAAAATGACGCGTCTTTAAGGGGATACAGTGCCTCCCACAGGATCCCGTGGGGCCTGCGCAGGATAACACCTTGCCTTCATTCTGCAGGCACTGAGCAGGCACTCAGTCTGTGTCAGGCACTGAGCCAGGTGCTGAGGATACCCCAGTGGAATGGACCCAGTTCCCACCTACCGGGAGCTCACAGTGCACAAATTAGGAGCCCCCAAATCACTCATGACCCCTGCTTCTCCCTCTGTGTCACCACCTCCTCACTCCCATCTCCTGTCACCTGTCCTGGCCCTTGTCAGCCTTCACAGACCACGATCATCTTGTCTACAAAGTACGATGCAGAATGATGAACACAGACCAGAATTCACTAATACAACAAGCCAGGGGATGCTACTGCACTTTTAAACTCCTTCTTGGCAACGGCCTTCAGACACAAAGCTGATCCCTGGCCCAGCTCCAGGGTGGGGCTCCTCAGCCAGGTTACTTGCCCTCTGAGTCCCAGCTTCCTCGTTTTTAAAACTGGGGGGTTTAGATACCATTGTCTCCGGGGCGCCTCCTGCTCTACAACCACTGAGCCTGAAGCACATGCTTCTGAATCCCCTTGTTCCTGTCAGATCCCGGCCCTCCAAGAGTGGATTTTATTTTTGGAAGCTGCCAAAAGCCACCTTGCGGTGCCAACTTTGGTGACTAGGGTGGGTGACGGTGCTGAGAGATGCCATGTTTGGTCACAAATGAGGGTAACTAGAAACTAGCAGGGCAGTTCCTCACTCTGGGACCACACCCTAAGACAAGTCCAAAAATAGATCCCATCTGTGTGGCTGACTTGATGGAAAACAACGTTGAGGTCCTCTGTCCTCACCATCTTTCTGGACCTCAGTGTCCTAGTCTATAAAATGGAGGGGGAGAAAAGTTGGACTCTCATCTAGACCTAGAATGTCTTTCCCAAGTGCTCAAGTTAGAGGTGTCTTGCTCTTTAACAAAATCCCTTTATCTAGATATTTCTTTTATTCTTTAAGGGCCTCTTTGGCCCCCAGAACTTGAAAGTCCGCTCACTCCCTCTCCAGGCAGCCCTCATACAATTCCATGGTGCTATGTGCTAGTATGGCCACCAGGTGGCAGTACAGTCCCATCCAGGAATCTTCATCAGCCTGCATCATCCTTGAACAGCTCCACAATTTCCAAGAGCCCTCCCTGAGGCAGACCCCACTACAGATGGATGCTCAGACCTTGCCCACGCTCTGAAGCAGGAGCTCCTGAAGCTCACGGGAGTGGTCAATCCTGAGGATGCCTGCAGGGCCCGCACCCTCCTCTCCCTTCCAGGAGAGGTGAGAGCTGCAACGCTGAGCTCTCCACACTCCTGAGCACAGCATTCAGGACTCTCTGCAAATAGGTCTCACCTCCAGGCCCACAACCTTGTTCTCCCCGACCTGAGCCACAGGGATTTACAGGAAATGAGAGGAGCTCTTCACACAAGCACACACTTCTTGACTGGGAAGCAGAGGGGATGCCAGGATCAGGGCATCCCTGGACCCAGCCTTGAAGGGGACCTGGACCAGCAGAGGGCCTGGGTCAGCAGTAGCTGGAGTGAGCTGAGGCAGAGGAGGCCTGTGGCTTCCTGTGAAGAACTGAAGAGCCACTTCCTTTAAGCAGATGGCTGTGGGGGAGGGGCAGAAGATTAGGGAGCATGGGCTTCCTGGTTTAGCGGGAAAGAAAGGGGACCCCAAGAAGTACCCATGAAGAGGCTCAGAGCAGCCTTCTATTTCTCTTCCCTCTGGGGTCTCCAGGGAGCAGACAATGCAGACAGGCAGGGTCACACCCTTCCCATGTGCTGTGAAGCCACAGAAAGGGGTTAGGGTAGGGGCAGGCTGATTTGTATAAGGCCAGTAAAGAAATGGAGCCATGGGGCCGGCCTCATGGCCAGGGGTTAAAGTTCTGCATGCTCTGCTTCAGCGGCCTGGGGTTTGCAGGCCCAGATCCCGGGTGCGGACCTACTCCACTCATCAGCCATGCTGTGGAGCCATCCCATGTACAAAAAATAGAGGAGGACTGGCACAGGTGTTAGCTCAGGGCTAATCTTCCTCACAAAAAAAGCCAACAACAAAAAAGAAATGGAGCCTTGGTTACTCCAAGAAGTGAGCCCAAGCACTTAGCTCCAAGTACCAAAGTCCAAGTATCCAGCCCCAGTAACCCGGCCCCAGGTACTTGGCCTCAAATATCTGCCCCAAATTCTCTGCTCCAAGCACCAGCTCCCAGTGGGGTGTCCAGTGCCAGACAGAAACTGGCAGGGGCCCAGTGGCTCTTCAGCTGTGTGGGGACATGGCCCCATAGGAGAGCTTGTCCTTGATCATTCTCCCAGGATGTATTTACTGGACTGACTCTTCCCCTGTAGCCAGCACTAAGGAAATGCCAGCCTAGCCATGGTGAATAATCACAAAACCCAAACTGGTGCAATTTTACTGCCTTTTTTCTATTCACACATATTTGCTTGTCCAGCACACCCACATTCAGTGGAGAACCAGATCTCCCCAACAGGGTCAGAGGCAGGAGGTCAGGACCAGGCAGGCCTCCTGAAACTGGCCCGAGGCAGAGAGGCAGGGGCTTGGTTTGGGGCCCACCACCCTTTAGCATCACTGCACGGCTGTCTGGGCCTCTGCCTCACCTCTGTCTGCCAGCACACAGCCCTTGTCTGCCTCTCTCAGGGGTGGGTGTGAGGAGGAGGGAAGGAAGTCTCCGCAGAGGGCAGGGGTATCTGCCAGGGGCTGCTCAGCTATAGGTCACAGCAAGATGGGTAGGTGGCAGTGGTGGTGACATCACTGGTTTTGTTCTTAGTGGATATGAGGATGTAGCCCCTGGTGTCCCACAGTGGCAACCATGAGTTCTTGATGAGCCAGAAGGGCTCACCTCCTCATACCCACAGCCCCCCAGGAGCACAGATCCGTCCAGCTGCTCCAGTGCTGACCTGGGGAAGGGGCCGAGCATCTTCACTCAGCCATGATTTCTCACCCAGTCTCTTGGAACCCACTGACTCAAGCCCGTTCCTCCCTCAGTCTTCCCCACCTCGGGCAAAGGCACCTCCAGGCAGGCATCTACCTAAGCCAGACATTCGCCCAAAGGCTTTCCCCCCTGAACTTTCTTCTTCACTCTTTGGTCTCCGCTCAAATGTCACCTACCCAGAGAAGCCCTCCACAACCACCTACTTTGCTCCTATCTACTACAGTGGTTCCCAAACTTATCTGCTCCTGGAATTACCTGGGGGCTTCAAAACATACTGACACCTGTGTCTCACCCACAGAGATTGTGATTTAAGTGGTCTGGGGTGCAGCCTGGACTTCAGAATTTTCAAAAAAATTTCCAGGTGATTCTAACGTGCAGATAAGTGTGAGAAGCACTGTGCCAGCACATGACCCTGTTTTATTTTCTGTATAAGGCCAGTAAAGAAATAGAGTCTTGGTTACTCCAAGAAGCAGGCCCAAGCACCCAGCCCTAAGTACCCAAGTCCAAGTACTCAGCCTCAGAACTAAGTCCCAAACACCCAGGTCCTAGGGGTTATGTAAATTAACTCATTTAATCCTTACAACAATGTTCTTGAGCGTTGCTAGGATCCTCATTTTACAGATGAAGAAATCAAGGCATAGAGAGGTTAAATAACTCCCCTATGGTAAACAGCTAGCAAGTGACAGTGCAGGGTTTTGAACTCAGACAGTCTCTCTAGAACAGTGCCTGGAACCCAGAGGGGACTCTATAAATAATTGTCGAATAAAGGAACTTAATCTCCCTCTGCCTCACCCATCCCCCACATTCAATCCAGCAACCAGCCAGCCTGTAGATTCTATCTTCTAATAATTTCTTGAGTCTGTTCATGACTCTCCACCCACACGACCCCTCTCTCATCGTCTAGCTCGCTCCCCTCAGGCCTGGAGGACACCTGCAAGGTCCTTCTAATGGGTCTCCCTGTGTCCGCTCTTGCCCCTTGTGTCCACTTTTGTCTATTCTCCACACAGAGCCAGGAAGATCTTAAAACACATTAGATCAAGTGACACCCCCCGGCTTAAAGCCCCCAGTGGCTGCCCACCATACTCAACAAATAAGTTGAATAAAGTTCTACTTCTTTACTCTGGCCTTCAAGGTCTTCAATCATCTGCTCCCCCAAACCTCCATAGTTTTAGCTCAGTGCTTCCCCTCCCCCAACTCTCTTCTAGCCAGAACCTTCTTTCTCCTTCCCAGAACTCCCCAGGTGCCAGCCAACCTCAACGCCTTTCCACAAGCTCTTCTCTCTGCTTGGAACACTTCTGTTGTTTCAGGAGTCCGCTCGAATGTAACTTCTCCAGAGACCTGAGCCCCCAATGTAAATTAAACACTCTTTATTCCAGCAGCCTGTACCTTATGTTCCTAGAATTGATCACAATTGTAATAAAGGCATGATTGGTGTAAGCATTTGCTACTGTCAGACTTCCTCACTAGACTCCGAGCTCCCCGTGCACAAGCACAGGCCTCGTCGTTATTTATCGCGAGCACCCAGCTCAGCGCCTGGCACACAGGAGGCACCCAATAGCTTTGGTCCAGTGGATGGACAGATAGATGGACAGATGGATGGACAGACGGATGAGTGGATGAGGAATGATTGAGTGAATAAACACATTTTAAAATTGGGAACCTATTCACCTGCCTGTATTTCTCAGGGCAGTTATAATGTGCCCGATTCATGGGAGTTATTTCACCCTTCGAGAGCCCCTACCCACCTGCTCCCCGTGGCCTTTCCCAGACAAGGCCACGAGGCGGGGCTTCCGGGCCGGTTGCGTGACGTCACAGAGGGAGGCGTGCCCGGAGCCAGCCTCTGCTTCCCGATTGGCGGGCGCGCGGCCACACTCACCGCCACTGCTGTCGGAGCGGACGCCGTGGGAGTAGAAGGCGGAGTGGGGCGAGCGTCTCCGTAGACAGCGCGAGGCAGTGCGCAGTAGAGCGGCTTCAACGAGTCGCGGTCCCCCGAGGGCACGTTCCGGTAGCGCCGAGCGTTTGGGGAGGCTCACGCCTTTCCGCGGGACGATGGGACAGCGGAGGGGTGCGCGCTGCGGTTGGACCGCTCCCTGCAGCGGCAGGACAGAGTGTGACCAAGCTTCCGGGAGGTCACCCGAGCGTGGCTATTTCGGGCCTCTGACCTCAGCGAGGAAAGTCCCAAAAACACAGCCCCACCCTCCCCCTCACTCTCCAGAACACGCTCCGCCTCTTCCCTCCACCCCAAACTCAGACCTAAAAGAGCTGCCGGACGAGGAGTCTGCAGACCTGGTTTCTAGCCTTAGCTCTGTGTGACCCGGCGCAAGAGTCATGCTTTCTGGACTTCAGTCTGCTCATCTGCAGACTGAAGCGGTACCTGCATTCAATGATGTAATGTATAAAGTGCCCAGCGCTGGACTGGCACGTACTAGGCGCTCAGTAGATGCTGATTTCTTTCTCCCTGATCCTGACCCTGCCACTGATTGGCTCTGTGGTCTGGAGCAATTTCGCTTAACTTCTGGGGACTCACTTCCCCATCCTAGAATGAGAGAATTGTCCTTCTAGCCCTGAGGTTCTGGGAGCTAAGACTTCTTGAGTCACTTAGTGAGTGATGAGCTGAGACCAGACCCCACGTGCTGGTGTCACTTGACTTCTCGGAGGTCCCTCTAACAAAGGAGCTTCCTCATCCTCCCAGAGATGGCTCTAATGAGGTTGTGCTTAAGAGGGCTGGACCTCCCAGAGGTTCTGCCGGGTCTTAGGGTCTGCAGGGACCTTAAAGGGCATCCCAGACAACCTTCCTCAATGTTCCTTCCAAAGTTGGGTCACTCCCCTGCATAAAACCTTTCCATGGCTCCCTATGGCCCTCAGGCTACTCAGCAAGACCCTGGGCTTCTAGTCTCAGCCGAGCCCCCTCCCCTCTCTCCCAGCCAGGTTCTAGCCAGACTGAGCTGCTTTCAGCTCTCTTTCCTCTCTTCCAGGTGTTTGCACAGATGGTTCCCTCCCTGCCGCATCCTCTTTCACCTGGCTAACTCCTCATCCTTGACCATCATGGGACGCGGTGGATCCTGACCCCTAATATAGGTCCCCGTTCACTTGAGAACTGGTGAGTGACTCCTGACCTCACCCAGCTCAGCCACTGCCCTTCTTACTTCCTACCCTCTAGCCATGCTGAACGTTCAGCTCCTTGAAAATGCAGGGCTCTCTCTTGCCTCTTGGCTCTCGCACCTGCTGTTCCCTCAGACCTAAACACTCTTTTCTTCCCTACCTAACTCATACTTGTCCTTCAAATCTCAGTTTCTGGGGCCAGTCCCATGGCCGAGTGGTTGAGTTAGCTGCCCTGCTTCAGTGGCCCAGGGTTTCACCGGTTCGGATCCTGGGCGCGAGCGTGGCACTGCTCATCAGGCCATGCTGAGGCGGCATCCCACATGCCACAACTAGAAGGACCCACAACTAAAAATATGCAACTATGAACCGGGGGACTTTGTGGAGAAGGAAAAATAAAATGTTAAAAAAATCTCAGTTTCCTTCCTCCCAGGGGTGGGGATGAGGGGTTCATTGACCAGGCCCCACGATATCAAGTACACACTTTCTTGCCACTATTTAATATCTATCGAATGAGTGAGTGAGTGAATCCTTGCCCAGTGCTTGTCCAGTCTCTGCTTACATACGTCAGAGGCAGGGAGCTTGCGCCTTTTGAAGCAGCCTACTCCATCTGCCCATTAGAAGGCCTTCGATTCCTGCCCGCTCCCAACCAATGCTCAAGAGATTCCCTGAAACTGAGGCCCAGAGTAAGCAAGTACATTGAGGTACTGGGTGCAGAGGCAGGGTCCACGTGCCTGTCCTGAGGGCTCATGCAGGCTTACCCATAGGGCCCATAGGCGTCAGCAAAGACCAGATCCCCCACAGCCGGGATCCACTTGTAGGCCTGGGACTCGAGACACTGTCACAGCTCATGTTCTCTTTCACCTAGAAGCAGCCAATCAGCCTCTTCTGGGGACAGGGACATGAGCAACCCAGTCTGAGTTGGGGGAGGCCACGAAGGAAGCATTTTCAGATAGCACTGGACTCCAATTGCCTCATTCAACCCCATGCCAGCCCTGTGAGGCAGGAGATGCTGTTCCCATTTTACAGGTGCACAAACTGAAGTTTCTGGATGGATGCTATTTACCTAAGGTCACACAGTGAGATGGTGGCAAAGCCGGGCTGAACTTCAAAGCCCAACCTCTTTCCTCTGCCCCTCAGCTTGGTGCCTCTTGTCTGCCTACCCTGATCCCGGGCCCATTCTTCCCGAAGCATCATGAGGTCCTAAAGGGTCCCATGGCTCCTGTTCCCCACAGTGGGGTCTGACCCCACTGGGGCCTCCGCAGCTGTGCCTGGGCAACAGCTAAAAGCTGGCTGAATGCCAGGAGTCATCATCCCTTCCTTCCGCACTTTGTCACTCCCCAAAACTGTAGAGGGACTCAGACCAGAATTGGTCTTATAGACACCAAGCCCCTGAATCTGGGCTGGGCCACTTATTCACTGTGTGACCTTGGGTGAGTTCCTTTCCTTCTTGGAGCCTCACTTTATCATCTGTAAAGGGGGCAAATTATCCCTTCCCAGGGCGTCAGTGTCCCAGAGTTTAGGAAAGTTGCTCTCTCTCCTGGGCCACCTCACCCTTGAACCCTCTCATTTTGAGGAACAGAGCTTCCCTCCAGGGTCCCTGTGGGGGCAAAAATCCAGCATAAACCATGTAGCCTGGTCCTTGATGGGGGTCACAGATCCTGATTTGGGTGGGCAGCAGGTTGGGGACCCAGCTTCCCCAGCTTCAGCCCCTCTTGGCCTCTGTCCCTGCTAGGGAGCTGGCTCCCTCATCACACTGCTCCCTCTACTGTCTGTGGCCTTGCAGAGCCATTCGCCAGGGGATTCTGCCTCTCCTGCCTCCTCCAGTCTGTCCTCCCTCCCCTCTTCCTCACACAAATGTTTATCCGTGCCTACTTTGTACATATATCACTGAATAACCTCACTGCCTGTCCTTGCAAAGCTCACAGTTCGGTAAAGGAGATGGACAAGAAAACCAAGTTACAATTCATTCACCCATCCCAGATCCTGTGGCCCTCCCTGCCGCTGCCCTCACCCAGACAGTCTCCTGTCCCCACTGTGGCCTGAGCCATCCTGTTAAAAGGGAGGTCAGAACATGTCACTCTTCTGCTCAGCCCCCTCCCGTGGCTCCCCACCTCAAAGGTAAAGCCAGCGTCCTTGCTGTGACCTGCAAGGCCTGCCTGATCGACCTTCTTGCCTCCCACTGTCCCCTCTGAACACTCCACTCCAGCTGCACTGGCTGCCTTGCTGTTTGTCTACATGCCAGGCATGCTCCTGTCTCAGCCTTTGCATTTGTCCTTGGTCCTGCTGGGCATGTCTTCCCAGGTACCCATGCGGCCTCCCTCCCTTCACAAAGGTGTCTCCACCTCGTCCAGGGGCCTTCCTTGCCTGCCCATCTAAATGCTACCCCCTACTTGCCTTCTGCTTTATTTATTTTTCCTTGGCACTACCAAGTGACAGGTAATTATTTTTTTATTGTCTGTTTCCCTACAGGGGTATAAGTCCCATGAGATCTCCTTAGGTTCCCCAACTCTCAGAAAAAAAAAAAAAGAAGAAGAAGAAGAGAGAGAGAAAAGAATACCAGGAAACTATGAAAAAAAGAAAAAGGAACACTAATCTTGCTACTATAGATAGTAGTATTTCAAGCCTCAATAGTTAAAACAACTTGATTTGGGTGCAGGAAGAGACAAACAGACCAATGGACTGGAATAGAATGTCCAGAAATAGACCCAATTGTACAGAGATTTAGTATTTGATAAAGGTGGCATCTCAAAGTGGAGAACAGGCTAATAAACAGTGTTAGGACAACTGGGTAGCCAAGAGGGAAAAAAAAATTGGATCTGTGCTTCACCTCGAGTACCAGGCTAAGATCCAAAAGGATCAAAGATGTAAATGTTTGAAAAATCAAAATTAAACCAGAAAAGCACTAGAGGAAAACATGAGGAGACTCTATCATCTCATCATGGGAAAAGTCTAACCATGACTCAAAAACCAAAAAGCCACAAAAAATGATTGATAAGGTCAACTATATAAAAATCAAAAACTTTGCATGGTAAAACACTATAAATAAAGTCATAAGACAAATGACAAATAGAGGGAAATATTTGCAACTCACATCACAGACAGAGGGTCATCTCTTTATAAAGAATTCCTGGAAATTCATTAAAAGGATCAACAGTCAACAGAAACAGGCATAGGATATGAACTGACAGTTTCCAGAAAAGAAAGTACAAATGGCTTCTAAACGTATGAAGCTCTCTCGAAAGAAATGAAAATCAGGAAAACCACACTGAGATACCATTTCTTATCAGTCTGGCAAAAAATCCAGAAGTTTACCATACTTTCTGTAAGGAAACAGTACTCTCACACATGTGAACATAAATTGGTACAGGTCCCCAAAAAGGCATTTTGGCAAAATCTATCATAATTATAAATGCATCCAGATATCCTACTTCTGAGAATTTATCCTTCAGACATGCTTTTACAAGTGAGAAATGATGTATGTATAAAGTTATTCTCTGCAGCACTGTTTGAAATAGCAAAAGACTGGAAACAACTGTCCATTAGTAGGGATTATGTTAGGTGGAGTATAGTCCATCCATTTAATGGAATATTATGCAACTACGAAAAAGAATGAGGGAGATCTGTGTGTCCTGTTGGGAAAGCTCTGTAAAGTGTATTAACTTTACAAAGCAAGGTGCAGAGCAGCATATATGATATTCTACCTTTTGTAGATTATATATTTATAATCTTACTGAGTAGCAACAGAATTAGTGATTAAGTGCACAGACTCAGCCAGATACCCTGAGTTCAAATACACTTTCTGGTACTATACTGGGCTGAATAGTGTCCCACCAAAATTCATGTCCACCTGGAACCTGTGCATGTGACCTTATTTGGAAATAGGGTCTTTGCAGATGGAAGTTAGAGGTCGTATCTGATTAGGGTGGACTCTAAATCCAATATGACTGTTTCCTTACAAGAAGAGGAAAATTTGGACACAGAGACAGACACACAGTAGAGAAGGCCATATGAAGGCAGAGGCAGAGGTCGGAGTGGTGCCTCTGCAAGCCAAGGAACGCCGAGGATTGCTGGCAACCGCCTGAAGCTAGCAGAGAGGCATGGAACAAACTCTCCCCAGAGCTTCTAAAAGGAACGAACGCGGCCAACACCTCAACTTTGGACTTCTGGCCTCCAGAACTGTGCGAGAATAAGTTTCTGTTGTTTGAAGCCACCCAGTTTGTGGTAATTTATGATGGCAGCCCTAGGATACTAAGATAGCTACTTAGAAACTGTGCAATCTTGGGCAAGAAACTTAGCCTCTCTGTGCCCTGATTTCCTCCCCTGCAAAATAAGGCTAATAGTACTTCCCTCACAGGGTTGGGTTATAAGGATTAAATGAGTTAATCCTTTAAGGAATTTAGGATAAGGTCTGACATGTAATAAGTGCTATACAAATGTTAACTGAATATAAGCTTGTGTTTGCATAAGGAAACCTTGGAAGGGCAACCAAGAAGCTAATACATGTGGTTGCTGGAAGGGAGGGAATAAGGAGATGGGGGACAGACGGGAGCAAGGCTTTGCACAGCCTTTGCATTTTTCAGCCTTTTTATGTATTTCTTTTTGAACATTTGAATGTATTATCTGTTTAAAATTATTTAAATAATCATATTATAAATCATATTACTCTCCTGCTCAGAAGCCCTTCACTGGTTTCCCATCACATGTGTAACAAAATCAAATGTCCTTACTGTGGCTGACAAATGCCCACCAGAATGTGAGCACCCCTTTCCACCCAGCTCTCCGTTCACTTCCACGCATTTACTCTCTGCTAGCTGCACAGGCGGCCTTGCTGTTCCCAGAGCCTGCCAGGTACGCTCCCACCTCAGGGCCTTTGCACTGGCTGTTCCTTCACTTCATTCAGGTTTCTGCTGAATGTCACCTCTGCAGAGAGGCCGTCTCTCACCTAAAAAAGAAAAAAGAAGGCAGCCCTGACTCCCGATTGCCACCATGCTCTATCCCTTCCTCACTTTAATTTTTATACAAATCATGGATCACCTCTGACATTACATATCTGTTGATTGTCTCCTCCCGCTTCTAAGTTCCAGGAGGGGAGAGATTGTCTGTCTTGTTCACAGCTGCATCCTTAGTCCCCAACACAGAGCCTGGCACATTCAATAAATATTTGTTGAATGAGTGGATGAAACGAGACATCATAGGTTAAGTGCTTAGCATGGTACCTGGCACACAGTAGAAAGTTCCCTATTATTCCCTTCCCTTGGACATCTTCACACTCTTCTTACCCTCCACCCCACCCCCGGGAATCCCTCCCACGTGACCCTATGGGCTCCTTCTCTCAGGCCCCTTTTCTCTTCCACCTCTATTCTCTCCTTTGCAAGTGGCCTTTACGTTCTGCTGTTGACCTGGGGCTGTGACGTGTCTCCTCCATTAGACAATGGTTCCCCTGTGCAGGAACTGTGGGAATTGTGGTTTGGCCTCGCTCTGACTCCCTCCTTTCCCGGGGCTCAGCCTTTGGAGCTACCCACAGAACCACTGTGTCATTTCCTGACTCTAGTAAGGAATTCCAGGCTTGTTCCACGTCTCTCTCAGTAAGTCCCTCTGCAGTCTGACTGAAGTCATTCTTGCTACAATAAAGAATGAGTTTCTTCTGAGTTGTCTAGGACCTCTGAGAAAGCAGCTGGACCGATTTTTTCCTGTAATCTTTGTTGGTTGTCTAGGGGGACTTGGAGGTTGCCCCTCACCATGGTGTCTCCAGTCCAGGCTCTCAGGCAGAGCCACACTGGCCAGATGCCTGGCAGGAGAGATTTTTCCTTTATTCAGCTCAGAGGATCTCAGCAGGCCCCGCAGAGCTGCCAACTCTCCAGGACTGTGATCCATCAGGCGGTTGGGAGCCAGGCACAAAGTGTGGTGGGCACCGTTGTGGCAGTTAATGAGCTTGGATGAGGGAGGAGATTGACACCTGTGACCTTGACCGCCTCTCCCCCACCTTCCCCTTCGTAACTCATCCATCCGTTCGGAGTAGAAGTCAGGAGCGCCTACCATGTGCCAGACACCCAGCTCTTATCTTCTCCAATCTCGCTTTCCCCAACGGTAAATTGAGAATAGAAATACTCAACTTACATGGTCATTGTAGAGATTAAATAAGCTGATGCATATAAAGCCCTGGGCAAAATAACATAGCTCATTGTAAATACTCAATAAACGTGTTGTTTTTGAATTGAATCAACCCTGAGAGATGACAGCTCTGGGTCAGGCTCTCAAGGGTCTAGTGGGAAAGGCAGATGTAGAAACAGATATTTATAAAATAAAGTTCAAGCAACAGGGTATTTGGGGCAAGGTAGGGTCGGGAACCCACCTGTCTGGTGCTCTGCTGGGTGACCTTGGGGAAGGCACACTCTCTCTGGTCTTGCCAGGGAGAAGACAGGAGTTAGGATGGGAGCTGATGCCTAAGATCAAGGCGGGGCAGGAGTAAGGACTTGGGGTTGAGCCAGCAGGCCCTGCCTTCCAGTCTCACCTGCCAAGTCTGCCTATGGTGACCTTGGGGGAGCCCTCTGAACCTCAGTTTCCCCCTCTGAACAGTGGGGATCATCACATTAGGTGGCAGAGTGGTCGTGAGGATGCAGGAAGAGGACAGATGGCACACTCGAGGTGCTGAGCCCTTGTGTGGGAGCAGTGCTGCCTCAGCCCATGAGTTTGTGGAATAATTTCCTCCACAGCAAGGAGGACCCAGAGCTGGAAGCTGGCAGGTCCTCCCTGCTGCTGTAGCTCCGCCCATGCTGGCAGCTATAGCACTCAAAGAAGCTGAAGACCCAGTCCTTGCCATGCCCCATGAACTCATGTGGTCCACCGGGAGGTGGACCTCAGGCTGAGGACTTGCATGCAGGGTACATCTGGCAGCGGGGGCATGGGGGCACCCTGGCAAATCACATCTGCTCCCACCCTGGGCCAGTGGGGTCCGGACGGCCCTGCTCAGTAATTGAGTCACTATATTCTTGGATAAGTATCTGAGCCTCCCTGGGCCTGAGTTTCCCCATCTGTAAAACAGGGACAATGAGATTGACCTTACTGGAGAGTCTTCCAGAATTAACCTGTCCCATGCTGTAGCTTGTGGTCCATTCCTTAATGCCCCTCTCCCTCCTCCTGGCCCTGGCAAACATGAGTGGGGTGATTTCTGCCACTTTGCTTAGTCTCTCCCTTCAAACTGGGGACAGGGCTGTGTCTCTTCCATATGTTCCAAATGTTGGTATTATTTAATAGTTACTTTGCACAATAATACAATTCAACAGGCACTTCACACGCATCTTCTCAGTTCATCATATAACATAGATTTTATTAACATACCCATTTTACATATGAGAAGACTGAGGCTTAAGGAGTTTACACAACTTGTTCAAGGTCACCCAGACCGTAGAGGGAGGGGTCAGGATTTGTCCAGAGGCCCATATCAGCGTTATGGAGAGAAGGTAGTGTTCTTTCAGGTAGACTCGAGGCCACACCCCAGATTTTTCACTCATGCACAGCTGTGTGACCTTGAGTAAGTCTCTGGAGCTCTCTGGCCTCAGTTTCCCTATCCATAACAGGAAGAGTGACTCTACTTCACAGGGAAATAATGCATGGGGAATGTCTAGAGCAGGGCCTGACACACAGTAGGTGTTCAATAAAGGATGTTCCCTTTTCCCTTCCTTTCCTTCCTCTGGTAGGGACTCCAGGCCTGGGCATACGCCAGGCCAGGCTGACCTAGCTGTCTCAGAGACAATATTTGTGTTTCCTCCTCCCATACTTATAAGGGGGACTGCTGCCCCCCATCTCTCCATTCCCAGGGCCCTCAGTCTTCTGAGGGGTGAAAGGATTGTCTCCAGTCTGACTGAGACACAGCCCAACCAGAGAGCAGATGTACTGGCCCCATGCCTGACACTGGGTGAGAAACCACAGCATTGTGCCACCTCATTGCACAGGGTGTGTGGCTGGGGTGTGGACACAGGAGGTAGAAGGATTGGTGCTCTGGCAGGGAGGGTGTCTGGGGCTCTGTCTTGTGTTGAGTGAGCTGCTGGGGTCACTCACTCTGAGGAAGGTGGAACATGTTGTGTGGACAGTAGCTGGAGAAGTTGGCAGAGTCCAGCTGGTACTTGTCGAAGCAATAGCCCAGTCGGTAGCTAAAGCTGC